GTGGTGGTGCTGTGGGTTAATGCGCCAGGCTGCAAAGTCATTTGAACTGCAAGGTCGGCAGTTCAAGCTCACCACCAGCTGCCCCTCGGAGACTCTATACAGGGCTGCTATGGGTTGGAATCAACTTGACGACACTTAACAGCAATAACAATGGCATTAGGATTAAACACTCAACAGCCAACTTAAATTTTGGTTGTTCAGATCCACCTAGCAGCTCCATGGGAGACAGACCTGGTGATCTGCTCTCATAAAATCTGTGGGACAGTTCTGTCCTGTCACACTGTGGTGCTGTGAGTCAAAATCTACTCAACAGCCCCTAACAACAACAACATACATGAAAATAGAGAAGCAAATAACACTCCATGCCCTTGCTTTCCTTTTCTACCTGTGATTTCGTATCTCCCAAGTAAATGTCTCTTGTGTCCCCATGAGAACCTCCATGTGACTCTGTAGGGTGAGCACTGAACTAGAAATCATAGGCTAAAACCATCAGAGTTAGTACAACGTAGAACATCTGGGTATCAACAGGGATGGAGGCTTAAAAAAATCATAAGAAAATAAGACCTTTTGTTCTAAATTTATTTAAAGTTGTCGTTGTTAAGCACTGTAAAGTTGGTTCCAACTCATAGTGATCCTGTATAGGGTTTCTGAGGAGTGGCTGGTGAGTTTGAACCACTAACCTTGTGATTCAAATTGACCTTGTGGTCCAGTCCATTATCCTACAGTGCCACACCAGGTTGTAAAAATGAAGGTGCTCATTAAGTATATCATGTTATCTTACAATATGAAAGGATGGTAAATACTCTCAATTGCTACACGTCTGTTTCTCTTAAAGTTAGAAACATAGAAGTGGGGGCATCGACAGAAATCACTTTCAGAAGTGCCCCTTTGAAAGAGCACACTGAGAACTGTAGTCATTCAGGGAAGGACTGAAGAAACTGGGGGAGAGATGGCTGAGGAGGAACATGGGAGCTGAATTTCCATCACAGAAAACAATGAGCTGAAAGAGGGAAGGCACTTTTTGTTTTTTATTACCCTGCAAGGTCAGGCCAGAACCACTGGGTGGCACTTGCAAAAAGGAAATTTTCAGCTCTTCATTTAACATGAGGAAAACATTCCTAACATGGCTGCACTGGGAAGCATTTTTAACTTTTATCATAGGTGCACTCGGTTTAGAAGCTTTGACGTTTCTCCAAAATTCTGTATTCTATAATCCGAAAGGGAATCTGGCAACTTTTGCTGTTTCTCATATGAAGAAGTCTTTGTTGCTTTTTATGCTGTGTCTGATATTAGGATCTCAGCGTATCATTACTTTGGCGTAATGAGTATGACTAGCACAATCATACCGTAATCACGTCATTTGGACTACATTAAAAAAAATCTCTCCGACTAATTGGTCACTTGTAGAATCTTGAATTCTGACTTTAGAAGAACTTAGGTGGTCAGGTTCATTGAGAGAAGAGAGAGCATAGTGTCTCCTGTGAAGAGTGGGACCAGATATCCTGGTAGGAGAGGTCTTTCTATTGGAGTTCATTCTCCTTTTGCCGTAAGGATCAGGGATTGTTTATCTCTCTCCTGACAGCAGTCCTTCCAGCTAGTTCTACCTTTGACAAAAGAAAAATTACACATATTCCTTTAGACTTTTTAGTTTTTTCCAGAAAATGTAGAGAAATACCAAGAGACTGAAAAAAAAAAAAAGCACTTTCATGGGGAATTCATTGTTTCACCTTCTGTGTGCCAGGGCTTGGGTACTTAGTGGAAATGCTGTAAATATGACTCCTGTCCTCATGGAGTTTGTTAACTGCTGTTGTCTGAGTTCAGAGTAACCTTTGGCCCTGGACGTCATCATTCTGTTTAATAGCTTTGTTGGAATTAGAGCCTTTGTCATGGGATACACTTTCTAGAGTCCTCGGGTGGCACAAGCAGACATGCTGCTGCTCACCAAAAGGTTGCAGAGTTGAGTTCACTCAGAGGCACTGCAGAAGAAAGGCTTGGAGGTCTACTTCCTGAGTATCAGCCATTGACAATCCTATGGAGTACAGTTCTAGTCTGATGCTCAGGGGTTGCCGTGAGTCAGAGTTAATTTGTGGCAACTGGTTTTTTAGATTCACGTTAAAGACAGCAAGAGAGCAGGGAGGAGCAAAACACTGGAGAGGAACCTGGAAGGCCAGGCCAGAGCAATTTACCACCTTTCACACATCTTTAACTGCTGTTTCTTCGGTAAACGGGGTCATTCACACCTCTGTACCTGCTCTCTCAGGGCAGATTCTGTTGTCAACTAAAGCAGCATTCCTGCCCAGGGAGAGTTAATGTCTAGAGGGAAAAAAACAGATTTCTTACTTGCCCTCCAAGAGGGTGGATTTGTATTTTTACCAATGGGTGATGATGTTATTCA